ACAACAGAGCAACCAGTGAGTCTGCTTGTTTTCAGGTTGCACCATATTTTTGAGACTAAACTTGCCGTGTTCTCCCAATTCGGATTATCCCATCTCCACCTCCACTTTTGCTTGTTATGACTCCGGCCATTTACCCAACCGCCCAAGGTCACTCATGGCCAGCAATGGTTTTGCAGTTTTAGTTCATGTCAGCCAACTGAGTCACTGAATTACTCGGACCTCATGCCTGTGGTTCCCTACAAGTTGCAAGAGAAACATATTATTATTATTATTTGATCGAATACCTCCCACTGTTTGTGGCATTGTCCCCTTTTCGCGCAGTCAACACTACCCGCAAATCCCTCAGTAATGCCCCATTTTGACTGTAAACGCATGATCATGCCAGACGGCATGCCACCCACAAGTTGGGAATAAACATTATTATTATTATTATTAAAATTTTCTCACTATGTCCCCGTCGTGTGATTGCTGGGTCAACGGCGAAAATACTCTTTGCCAAGCTTTGTTCAAACAGGGCATGAGTAAGAGTTAGGTCCCCGTGGAGGCGACGGCTTTCCGGCGGGACGCGTTTCGTAGTCCACGGATTTGAGGCCGGCAACCATTCTCGTGGTGGGTGGCAGTAATACGGGAGAAGGTGCGTCGGATCATCTGTAAAATGTCGAATGCCTTTTGGGCCGATTTCTCATGGTGCAGTGTGGAGGACTAAGTTGAGGAGACACAGATGCCCAAATACTTTTTGGCATCTATCCTCGTGATGTTTTCTGCTCCCTTTTCACCATGCATGAGGAAGGCATCCGCTGAATCCCCTCTAAACGACATATGGACGCACAATTTATCATTCAGAGGAAGGTGCCAGTCCAACGACCACTGCTTTGTAGAGTCTACAGCAATTTGGAGGGCACTGGCAATGGAACGCCAGGATTTCAAGTCGTCCGCAAAAAGTTGACATGGACTTGCAAGAACACCTGGGAAGTCGTTGAGGTAGACCAGAAACAGCACTGGTCCCAGGACGGCGCCTTGAAGAACTCCGATGGAGACCGGCGCTGGAGAAGAGTAGGTCGAGCCCGTTCTCACTCGGAATGATCTGTCTGATAGGAACGCCTTGATCCAGCGAAGGATTTTACCTTCATCCCCGTAAGACTCGAGTTTGTGGAGCAGCGGTACGTGTGGGACCCTATCAAATGCTTTTGTGAAGTCGAAAAATATGGCCTCCGATATGAGTCCTTCGTCCTTGGCTTGGGTTAAGCTTCACATAAACGCGAGCATGTTTGTCACGCAAAAGCGGTTTGGAGAACTGAGCTGAAGATATCAGGTTGGTGGAAGTAAGGTGCTCTAGGATAGCGCGCTTCAGAATGCGTTCCATCACCTTACATGGCACGCTAGTTAGGCTTATAGCACTGTAGCTGCCAAACGACAGTCGTTTACCAGTTTTGTAGATTGGCGTGACAATCGCTCCCTTCCAAGCAGAGGGAACGCTAAGCAGAGGGAAGAGTAAACAGAACAACGAGGCTAGTGAAGTAGCGGCGCTGAATTAAAACCCGAAGTCACTGATGAGGTCGTGGCCTTGGGCTGTGTCAACGGCATCTTCAAACATCTGTCGTGGTATTTCCTCCTCATGTACAAACGGGAATGGGGAAGATGGTCTGGAGGAATTCGCAATAAGCGGGTGCGTAAGCCTGAATATCAGAACCGAGGCGTTAAGTGAAACTTTAGACTCTCCTACGTCGCTGTTGGAATGCTTTCGTGTGTTGAAGTTCCTAGGGGAGTGTGCTCGTGCTAACGCACAGGTCAAAAAACCAAACAACAGAAAACAAGTGACTTCGTGGGGAAAACTCTCTGGAAATCCCCATGATGGTTGGATCCGAGCGATAAGCTTAGCTGATTGGAACGAGCTCCACACAATGGCAGCCTGGACCAAGAGAAGAATTTTCCGTAGGTCCGGAAAAACGGCAAGTGAACGCGAGTGCTCAGGCAATATTAAAAATAATAGGTTCGATTTCCCAACTTGTATGGAACATGCAGACAGGGGCATGATCTGGTCTTCATAACCTGAGCGCGACAGGTAATACCACAAAGCCCGGGGAAGATACACCAAAAGATACATGATTGTTACGTGGAAAGTAAGCACGGTTGCATAAACATACAAACAAAGGCGGTGGGCATGAGGAACGACTATTTTGGCATGAATCAAAAGCGAAAATCGTTGCTATCCACGACTGACCTTGAGCGGTTGAGTATATTGCAGGGGTCTCAAAATGGGAAAATGCGGATGGAGACGGCAGTTAGAAATGCAGACAAACGGCAGGT